AATTTACTTGTAATCATGAATTTTAAATAATATGCATTAATAAATAATACTTCATGCATAAAAAATAGTTTTTAAAAGTTTTTGTCAAATGTTTTATAATAAGATCCAATTTGAGTTCAACACCACTAATTGTACAAAGTACAACTAAAACTGCAGACGACCCAACACAATCTTGAACCACAAAATCATTGTCAACCTGAAAGTAATAGATTCATCCAGCTATGGGGTAGATAAATGTGCGAGCCTCGTGACATTCCTGGTGCAAATAGTCTTATGACGAAGAATCTTTCAATGAACCACGAGTTGAATAGACATTCAGCTTAAGAACTTGATCTTGATAAGCTCACAAATTGGGGTAACAACATTTGCTTGAAGTACTAAAGCAAACACCTTTGACTTTATAGACCCAGAGAGAAGAATCAACAATAAGCACATAGCTTCAAGAACAATAAATCAACTCAGTCAGATAAGCCGATTTCCTTTAACCTTTCAGAAAACTGAATCACCAGAATCAGATTCAAATATCCCAGCCAGAATAATGATTATGAGCACCCAAAACTCTTAGATCACAACCATAACATCAAAACAATGATTGTAGACTACCAAACTTCTAACTGATCAGGTTAGAAGAATGACTGAGAACACTCAAAGATTTGATAATTTCCAGAATCTCTAGAATACTAATTGCAAACCTTCAAGACCTCTGATTGATCAGGTCAAAGAAATGAGTGAATGCACTCAATGGTCTAGCCTCTTGTGGAAAAACTCCAGAGTAACAATTGTAGATACTCAAACTCTAGCTAGTCCAATCAAATACATAAACCAATCAACAATTCTGAAATCTTTTCAAATCTGGCTTTAAACTTTAATCCCAATTATGGTTGACCAAAAAAGTCAAACATTGACTTTAAAAAGTCACAATTGACCAGCTTTGCTGTAAGATGCTCTTAAGGGTAAAATTGATAAAATATTACCTTAACTAATAAGCACAAGGTCAATAAGGCAAAGAAATCTATTAAGCACACTCGTTAAGCACTTAGAGTCAAAGAACATGTACTCGTTAGATGAGCGATGAGCATAAGTCAGACTGCTCATTGCCCATGCCTTAGGCAAAGAGGCATGAACCTTAGCTTATCGCCTTTGCCCTAGCCGGTGAGCAAGGTCATCGCTCAAACCTTGGGCAATGAGCTATGTTATCACTCATCCCTTGGGCGGATATACTCAAACTTCCAACTTCATCGCACAATATAAGGGCCATCGCTTAAAGCCTTGGGCGATAAGTAAACATATCAGACAACACTTATCGCCCATAAAGTAACAAGGCAAACTGTAAGAGTAATGTTATCGCCCACCAAGACACTTCATCGCTTGGTCTGTTGGGCGATGAGGACCCTTATCGCTAAGCACATTGAGCGGATACCAACTTTGAGGCACATGACTTGGACGATAAGCTTGGTCTCTGGACAAGCTTTGAGCGATGAGGACACTTTATCACTCAAAACTTCGAATCTTCATTGGGCAATAAGCACTACTTTATCGCTCAATGAAATTCTTCATCAGGCGATGATGAAAGATCTTTAACAGATTAAGCACAGTTCGACTATTAGATCATCAAAACATCAAAGTTTAACATATAACACTAAAATTGATGATCCAATTAGATTCATATTCACCAAAATGTTATTCATTTAACATTAATTTGATTAAAAACAGTAAGATCAAGGTGAATATGATCTTTTAAGTCCAAAAAGTCGAACTGGAAGTTGATGAAGGTTCTGAGCACTGTTCCATTAATAAAAACAGAAACATAGCTTGAATTTGCTGCTGATTTGAATGATCGTATCAATTAAGATGAATCGATTATGCTTTGATACCAAATGTAACTCCCATATCGAATAACAAATCAAGAATCAAAGATGAAATTGAGAGATTGAGATGAAGAACTTGAAGAACCGGCCAGATTATATTATTGGAAAACATGAAATTACAATCTTTCTAAACACTCTAATCGACTCTCATTGATTACAATAGAAATGAACAACCATGATTCTAAACCCATGTCACCTATTTATAGGAGACATTTACATGTAAAGCCCAATGCCCTTAACCCAATTACATGATATTACAATACAATACAAAATAATTGTCTTTATAAAACTTTCATAATATTTAAGACTATTTTGGTCCTAACAATATAATATGAACCTCCTATTCGTAACTTTTTGATGAAATGAGAGATAGACAGAATAGGGTTCAATACACTCCTTCAATTACTATCACATATTCTATTGTTC